TATCTTCTGAAAAATATGTTTAACAGAAACTGACAGAGGAAGACCTGACGAATAGCGTGGGTAACTAAGAAGTCCACAGCCCGGATGGCCCAAGAAATTTTGAAATAGATTTCAAATCAGCATTCAAAAATACGCTTAGTAATAATTGCAACTGGATTTTTCATCAGTTTTTCTTTACAGGTTGGACTTGGTTTGCTTCTTCTATTCCTGCTAGTCTTTTTCTGCTTGTGCATAGCTATTGCTTGGCGATATTATTCACCCGTTATTGTAAACTACACTGTAAAAGAACAGGAGGAGCGAGCACGTAGAAACAGTGAGAAGGACAAACAAGAAAAGGAAAAGAGTGAGTTTCCTACGCGTGCCCTATCGCGAAATAATGAATTTTGAAAAGATGTACTGTTGAGAGCGCAAATAAACCTGTGTATAACTGCAAAATGACCGGTGAACGACGTTTCAATCCGTGCTAGCCCAGCTCTGGTTGTACAGTCATGTTCGCTGCGGTTGATAGGGCGTGTCAAGTGAGGCTGTTTGGCACGGCGCCAGGCCTATTTTCCACCATTTCTCGAAGCGACTAAGCGGCTACAATCGGTGGAATACGACTGATATTAGATAAGGATGTGACTCAGTCTTGTCGCTTTCGCTTCACACTTGGTGGAAAGCGGGTTTGGGCTGCGCCACACCCATCCGTGAGGACGAAACGCCATCACCCGCAGCAAGCGAGGCTTTCTGGTCGCTGTCTGTTCAGTATATGGATGGATGCAGAGAAGCGCTTCGATTCCCTGTTCGAATGTCGTGAATGTATATATCATAGTATTTACCAATGTTTACCCTAAATTCAGCAAACCACAGTGATTTCGCCTCTCGAAAACATAGAATGTCTGCTTCACTTAACAGTTCTCACCATTTATTTATTCATTTATTAAGAAAACGACTGAGCAATGGACGCTTTCAAAAACTTCCTCAAAAAGAAGAAGGTCGACAAACATTTCAAGCGTACGGGTGGCGGACAGCGACTTGACTCTGGTTCGAATCCTACGCCAAGTATAGTTACTGGAGCTGCGCAGGTATGCTCAAATTGCAAATATTTTGGCATTTCCTATGGTTCTTGAAGAGAAGTACAGTTGTAATTTCTTAGCGCTTTCTCATTGTAGGGTGGCGGCATTGACCGCGTTGCCGCTGCCGACGTTGCCGCCCAAGCAGCGCTGAAACGCCTCTATAAAGCGGAACCTCAGATTAGCAGCAGTCAGAAAAAGATCCAAGTGATCGTACGCTTTGCTTGTTTTTGCTCGTGGAACTTCTTGCTTCAAAACCGTCTCTCTACCTATCGTTCCAGTATAATTAGGGGCGCCTTTCCTTTTTCTCATCACTTATATCGTGTCACTCAAACAACAACGCATTCAATAGAGGGGGATTCAAATGCCTGTAAGAAGGTTACGCGACTCATCGACATCCCCCTCCACCCTAAAAATCTCCCGTTGTAAAAATGAGTAGGATGATCATAGGTGGTGGTGGGAAGGCAGAGGGGTGTTGGCAACTTTTTTATCATTGAAAACAATAGTTAAATTTGAGACCAGTAGTTGTATAACCCAATTTCGGTGAGGGAACGCTGAGAGAGAAGGAAACCAAAGCGCTCTGTCCAAATTCTTCCATGTGCATAGTCTTACTTTGCGTCGCGACGAGCGCTACAGGAGGACTTGCATGTCGGATGGCGTGCCTGGCAGCTGTCATTACCGTAACTGGGACGCTGCTGGCCGTAATTGCCACCCTCACCAATCCCCTTAGCCCTCCTTTTGGTTCAGACAACTTGTCCAAGCCACTCATCACATTTTTCGCATAATTGTTTGACCTATACTGGCAGGACGCCAGCACCCTGCGAGGCGAGTCGATTTGCGCCCTGGAACCCAATTCACCAACGTGGCATTGTGTCGACTCTCTCTCTCTCTCTCTCTGCTCTCTTCCTCTCTCGTCACAATCCTCTACTCTCTCCTCTCTCTCTCCTCTCTCTCATAAGTCTCTCATCTCTCTCTTCTCTCGGCTCTCCGCTCTCTTTCTCTGGGTGTGTGTGTTTTGTCTCTCACCTCAACTAACTCTAAAACCGTGCAATTTTCACACACAAGTTACCTGTATACATAGATGGCCCCGTGTATTATTACCTACCATCCCGTTCCTGTGATTTATCAAGCAGAGCAAGTGACAGGGTGGCGACAAGCAAAATACCGTTCTCGTAGGTAAGTGTACAGTTCGACTACTGGATACGAGGATGTAAGATGTCAGTGTCAACTGCATGACAAGTGGTGCGACTGCACCCTGAGAGAGAGAGAGAGCAGGAAACAGCGGGCGAGAGAGAGCACAACGGCTTTATCACCACTACATAGACAGATTGGTCCAGCTTAGGCCTATTAGGTGCTCATATGCAGGTAAAGGTCAAGCTTCTTGCGCATTTAAAGCCTTGGATGTGGCACATCTCCTGCCATTGTGGACCGAACCACGTTCACATTCAAGGGATTCCAATATTGGGTAATCGTGGTGTGTGTTTTTGAAGAGCGTGGAACAGGTCACTTATGACTTCTGATGAGAATTGGCCAACAACCAATTTCTCTCCAAAAAAGCGTACCGTTCTTAGATGGGCTGTTTGCTCATTTCACTTTTTCGAGTCTGGTGCAGCGTTTTCGCAGTGAGGACTCTTGTGGGACCTTTTTCTGGCCAGGATCAGGGCCCGAAAATCCAGGGGAACTTGTGACAGCTTTTACCAAAAACTCCGGATCGACAGCTTACGTGCTACCTGTCGGGATGTAAGATATTCAATAAGTGCAAAACTCGCAGGATTCTATTGTTTTATAAAAAGGAGATTTTGTACGAATTAGTATTAGGTTGTCCGGAAAGTTCTTAGCGTTTTGTGCACCTAAATTTTGTACATTCACTGCTGATTAAAAACTCATTCTGCCTTGCTTCTCAGTAGCACATCCTGTAGAGAATTTCTTGCGCTATCTGATGGTATAATTGCCGTTTCACCATTGCTTGATAAACCCCCTTTTTTCAAGATTTTTTCAAGCATGTGAAAAGAGCACTTCGGACGATTTTTTTCTTCGACTATAAATTGGGGCAATCCGCAATCGAAACAGCTCAACAAATTAACCAGGTGTGAGGGCCCAATAGTGCTAGAGAAAGCACTGTGCGGCAATGGCTCTAAATAATTTCGTTCTGGAGATTTCAGCCTTGAAGATGAACCTCATAGCGGTCGACCTAAAGCAATATCTGACGAGGATTTTAGGGGGATTTTGGAGGCTGACCCATCCCAAACAGTTCGAGAGATAGCAGAAGAGCTAGGCCTTAGCAAATTCACTGTTGCAGATGGTCTGGAACGCATCGGGAAGGTGAAAAACTCGACAATTGGGTGCCCCACAATCGGAGTGACCGGCAGGAATCGGCACGTCTCGAGGTTCCTTCTGCATTGCTTTTGCGCAGCAGAAACGACCTGTTTTGGGCCGAATTGTCACCTGTGATGAAAAATGGGTCATGTATGATAACAGGAGACGGTCCAGACAGTGGTTGAATTTAGACGAACCACCGAGGTAATTTTCAAAGCCGAACCCTCACGAAAAAAAGATTCTGGTCACGGCTTGGTGATCCACTATAACTTTTTATCACCAGGCCAAACCATCACAGCAGAACCCTACTGTGAAGAAATCGACGAATTGTACCGAAAATTTTGTCAGATGCAGCCAACACTTATCAAAAGAAAGGGTCCGATTCCTTTGCATGACAACGCCCGCCCACACGTTTCACAAATCACTATCCATAAATTGAACGAATTGGGGGTTGAAGTTCTACCTCAACCGCCATATTCTCCAGACCTTCCACCAACCGAATATTCCCTTTTGGAACATTTTCAGAACTTCCTTGCTGGGAAATACTTCATCAAACAGGACCAGGCAAAAAAGCCTTCGTGGATTTCGTGAATTTTTGACCACCCAGTTTTTTACTTTGATGGGATTTCTCGACTGCTGTCACATTGGCAAAAGTGTGCTGATTCGAATGGTGCCTATTTCGATCAAATCCGATGAGTATGAAAAAAGTTACGATCGTTTGAAGTGAAACACCCAAAACGCTAAGAACTTTCCGGACAACCTAATAATTATCGCCCAATCCGCCTTCTGTTGATGGTCTTCCAGGGTCAGGGTGATTTTCTCATCTTTCCAGTTGCTATGCTATTCTAGCCCGAAACTGTAGATG